AACTAATTCTAAATATATACCCCTCCTTAGAAATTTGCACCGGTCTCTACTAATAAGGGTGTATATCGACTCGATTTTCAGTGTTAAATCGTTGTTGACGGACACATGATCGACCGACTGACGTATTGTCAATGCTCCTCACATCCATATCCATAATTGGCCTCAGACTCGTTATGGTGGAGCTTGTCCAGTACAGGACCGTTACGATCAATTGGGACATCCTGCTCTATTTAAAATTTGACGACATCTTCTATGCCTAAGACTACATACAGGTGTGCTTTGACTTCCTTTAATATAACTCAAGTTTAATCTCTGCTCAATAAATGAAGCTTGATTGAATTTAACGTAACTCTAATTTGTTGTAACTTGAACAGTATATAAAGTAAATCTCTCACACCTTCTTTGAATGCTTGTAGCAGGACTAAGACACTCTGATCGGTGTTAGAGAGGGTGAACAAGGGCAAGAGAAATTAGGGCCGAATCTTTTTTTTTTTTTTAATTTAGTAGCCATTTATCAGTATAATTTTTAAAAATTAAATAATCAAATTTAATCTAGATTAAAAAAAGTTTTTTTTTTTTACTACTTTAACATCCTAAAGTTCAGGGCTCGTTTGATAACGATTTTTGTTTTTCATGTTTTGGGTTGTTCTATTTTTGTTTTTAGTTTTTGAAAAACAAAACCATATATGTTTGATAACCATTTTTTTTAAAAAAAAATATAGAAAATCAAATATGTTTGGTATCATTTTTAATTTTCTATTTTTAAAAGGTTAAAAAATTGAAAATATATATTAGAAAGAGAAAATTTTATGTAGAGTAGAGATAGATGACAATGGTGTAAGGTGGGAGTGAGAATGCATTCTCCCATTCTCGTGCTCGTGAGAATTTTTAGTCCCACATCTCCAGACTCCACCTCGTTCTTCCGTCCGAGAATCAAGATCCACGTTAAATAATCCTTATTTGGAGATGAGGATATTCGCTTGAAAAATTATCGGTTTTATAATTAATTATAATTATTTTTAGAATTTAAAAAATAAAAAAAGTGTAATAAATATATATTAATTGTTTTTAGGTTTATTGTTTACTAGCATAGATAATTAGTTTTAAAAATATTTAATTTAATATTTTATTCAAAATTTAGTAAATATGTCCACAAAATATATATATTAATTATTATTTAAAAATTGGAATCAATGATGGGTTGGAACATGCATTCCTATTTTTGAAGCGGGAACCCGATCGTGTAAGAATTTTTGTCAACCCTAATATATAGACATGAAAATACAAGTTTAGAGAGATTAAAATAAATTTTTAAAAGAGAAATTTTAGAGAGCTAAAGAAAAATATTTAGAAAAAAAATAGTGAAAGTAAAGTTAAAAGAGAAAAAGAGAAAAAAAGATAAAGTTAAGAGGAAAAAATATGTAAAATAAAAAAATAGGGAGGGAGAACTATAGACACCGTATTTGGTCCGGCTTATTTTTAATTTTAATTTTAATTTATATTATTATATTTTACCTTATTGTGTTTTATTTTAATTAAAGAATAACATAGGTTTACTTTATTATTAGTTTTAATATAAAGTTTAAATTAACTAAAATTAAAATGTTAGATTTATTTAAATGTTTAATTTTATTAATAAGAAAATAAAAATAGTTTGTTTAGATTTTGTTTTATTATTAAAATAAAAAATAGATAAATAAAAATGATTTGTTTTAAAAAGATTTTGTTTTAATGAAATAAAGATTTTATTTTAACAAAACCTTTGATTTTTAACGGTTTTTGTTGTTTTTTTAGTATTTAAGGGGAGGAAGCACACAAGAACCAGGAAAAGGAGGAAGCACACATTTTTCTTATTTAAAATGTAGTTTTTATTTAAAATGATTTTTTTTACAAGGTTTATATTTTTTGTGTTACCTTTGTTTTATTTTTTAATTAAAAAAGAATCTTCTGCTGCAGGATTTTAAAGAAGGAGATAAAAACAGAGTATTTTAGAATAAAATCTCATTTAAAATTCTTTTAATGGTTTGGTGGTTATGGTTTTAAAAAAATCTTAACAAAAATCAGTTTTTTAGCAAATAAGTTTTGTTAAAGTAAATTTGACTTTGTTTTTAAATAAATTTCTTTTCTTTTAAATAATTTTGTTAATTTCGAAACAAATAAAAAAAGATATTTTTTTTTGTTTTAATTTAACAAAATTCTTAGTTTTTTTTTTAGTTTTAAAAAATAAATTAAAACTTTTGTTTGTGTAAAAGAATATAATGTCTACATTTTAAGATGTTGACATAGTGGTAAGATGTTTGTTTTTTAACGTACATGACTCAAGTAAAAGAGCATAGCTTATATCTCAAAGTTGTGGCACATTGGTGTGATGTTTTAGTGTCAACACTCATGTCGCAAGTTTAAGTCTTAATGTTTCATGAAATTAAAATTATTTTTTTATTTATTATTATTTTTTTATTTTGACAAAATGTGGTACCGTTTTTGAACGGGTGTTGTAGGGTGCTAACACATTCCCTGCGCTCAGTCGACTCTCGAACCAACAATCTGTTTTCGCAGACCTTGTCTTTATTTTTAGGTGACCAATCACACCTCGTAGATGATTGATGGCGACTCCAAACCCTTATCTCGAAAGAGACCCTTCAGGGGATGACGTCGGCCGCTCCGCGTCGCGATGACGTTGCGAGAAGAACAATGATAGTGAGTAAAAAATTTAGAGACAAAAACCATATTTGAAATATACGTTTTAGAGAAAATAAATTAATAGAAAGAGAAATACAAGTTACAATGAAAGAAAATTGAATGAGAAAATAAGATATAATTTTCAGAAAAAAAAAATATTAGAAACAGAAAGAAAAGTTACAAAAAGTTACAAGAGAGAAAAGTTTGGGAAGACATAAACTTTTTAGAAAAAATACATAGACATGAAATTTTTGGGAGAAAGAGATAATAATAAATATTTAAAATAAGATAAATTTTTTAGAGAGAGAAAGAAATAATAATAAATATTAAAATTGAGAAAAATAAATTTTTTTTAGAGAGAGAAAAAAATAATAATAAATATTAAAATATTAAAATTTTACATAAAAAAAATAAATTTTTTAGAGAGATATTTATAGAGAATAAATTTTTAGAGTAATAAAAAAATTTTGTTAGAGATAAATATGTCAAATAAAAAAAACTTGAGTATTTAGAAAAAAAAAAAGAAATTTTGAAAAAAACATATGTTTTTTTCCCTAAACCCTATATATATTTTTTTAATTTACAAGAATTTTAAAATGGTTTTAAAAACAAGAGATAGAAAATTGAAGTGGTTATCCAAAACTAAAATGGTCATTGAGTTGAGAGATTGAGATTTGTCTACTTTTTTAAATGATTGGTCTTTTCGTCCTTTTCCTATTTTTGTTTTTTTTATTCAATCAATTTATCCTTCTTATTTATCTTATATTAAAATTTAAATTTAACTGAGTGTTGTTTTAGTCTCAAATCTCCCCAAAAATTTAAGTTTTAAATTAAACAAATAATTATTTTAGTTTCTTTACTCTAAATAAACATATAATTACTTTTGTTTTTTTCTTTTAAAAAATTAGATTTTAATTAGATTTTTGTTCTTTTCAAAAAGTCACAAATAAACTTTAATTAGGTAATAATTTCTTTTCGTAGCAAACTCCACGATGGTTAAAGAAAAATTCAGGTAAGAAATTTTCTCTCATCCACACCAGCCACCACCTTTCTTCCCTGGTCAAGCAACAGCGATGAGTAGATCCACGATATGACGCACACCAGACGACGTGTCCTTCCAATGATTTGTAGTATGTATCCTCACAATGGCCAATGACGAGTGATCTCCACATCGAATGTAACCTCTCGATGACATAGACGTCCTTAAAGAATAAGAAAAATTGTGGGAGAGGGAAAGGAAGAGAGAAAGAAGGAAAAGATCGGGAGGAGAGAGAAGAAAAAGAATAATTGCAAGAGAAGAACAGAGAGAAGAATGAGTGATTTGAGAAAGAATAACTACCAAATTCACATAAAAGTGACATTAGCAAAGGTATAGAAAACTGATGTTTTACAAAATTGGACAAAAGTCTTGTGAGTGATACTAAACAGGGTCATGCATGCTATTTTTCCAATAATTTTCTCAATTTAGGGAGTCACTTCCCTCCTTTTGTATAAAACTAGTTGGACTACCCATCAATTTTGTTATGTTCCAAGATAATCTTCAAAATAATCTTTTAACAAGATGATAAAAAAAAAAAAAAGTCAAACTCAAGATCAAATGTCCAATTCAATCAAATTGAACATTTCATTTTTACATTTTTAACTTTTAATTTCACCCAATTGCAACTTTTAAATTGACCTTAGAGTTTTGTACTCTTTATCTTATACTTGAACTATTGCAATATATACCTTAAACTTGATTAATAGTTGCAATTTCTATTTTCAAAAATTTGTCAAGTAAAAGTAATCAAAATACGTATTGTATGAAATTAATAGAATTTCCAAAAAAATAAATTAGAAAAAAAACCAACATTAGACTAGTTTTTTATTACATGAAATTGATGAGTTTCAATATTACATTGAAATTGGTCAACTTTCTAGAGATTTTTACCTTGCTTTTTGTTAAAATTAGCAAAAATTGAACCTAAGATAAACATTTAAGTCTAACTTGATATAAATTGAAAATTTATGGTGAAACTTGATACTCCTTTTGAATATCTCTTCTTTTCTTTAGAGCATATATGACTATTCAAATTAAGTCACAACTACCAAGCAATTGGAGATCTCTTCTTTTCTTTAGATCATATATGACCATTCAAGTTAAGTCACAACTACCAAGCAATTGGAGAAAACAACAAAAAGGCATGCAATTCTTATAACCAAAAATAGAAGAGAAGTTGAGGCATCCTAGAAGCATAATATTATTTCTTCTAATCAACAAAAGAATTGTAGAGCAATATGCAGAATTAAGAAAAAAAAGTGGGAACAGAATAAAAGATCTATACCGACAACAAGAAAATACGATCTACAATAACTAAAGCACACCGAAAACCAGCTCCCGTTGCTCGTAACGAAATGTGCAACAATTTGGTAACCATGTTTCATACAATCAAACACATCAGACTTACCACCAATCAAAAGAAATGCTCTCACCAAGATTCCATTCCAAAGCAACCACAGTCAAAACATTTTGCTTGCACAAGAAGAAATAAGAGATCTTTTCCAGAATACAAAAGTTTTACAGAGCACTCCCATTAGTTGTTGATCATTCTCCTTTCCAAAAACTGATTTTATGTAACAGTGTTTGGAGATGAAGTAATCAGGTAGTCTCTTGAAGCCTATATATGGTGATTTCTTGCTGCTTGAAATAGCGTCTGTCCTCTTCGTCAACAAGAACAAGATTCAAGTAGTACTTCACACTGAATTTGTTGTTGATGTTACGATGTGTTGACGTCAGCTCGTATGGGCTAAGAAACAGTCTGACTGGAATGGATTCGCCTGCAGAAACAACCATGTGCTGTTTTAAGCTTTTGAATTCATTGACAATCTTTAGAACGCGATGTGATAAAAGTTACTTTCATTAGAGTATCTTCGGAGTATAAGGTTTATCATTTGGTAGAGTATTTGGAGCACACCTCTAACTGGAGCTCCATCCATTAGCTCATACTTAGCTAGCGTCTCTGTCTCAACGTGAGTGTTAGCTCCAGATCCGGTTGATTCTCGACGCCGAATCTCCAAATCCATATTTTTTATCTTGATTCTCACCAGTAGGAAATAAATCTTGCCAATGATGACATCTTTGAGATGGTATCTGCATGTATCAATTTTCTTCGCTAAGAAACCAATTTGCTCTTCATCTTGAAAAAGAGGGGAAAACAATAAATTTTCTGGAGGGGTAAAGTTTTACATTTTGAACTTTCTTGTATATAATTTTTCAATTCTAAAGACTTGGGTGGCAAATTGGAAAGAAAACCATAAGATAACTTTCATGTATAATTTTTAAATAAAAAACGAACTAAGAGTTCCCCCTCCTTCCTTCTTTACTCCGCACTCAATTGCTTCCAGTTTCAAAATAATTAAGAAGTTCAAAAGCATCTGACGAAACAACCAACATGGCCTGCTTGTATAAACGTCAATAGAAGTCTGATCTTTGTAGGTAACAAGAACCAAAACTTCCTTGAAGATTTAAATTCATCATATGAAAAATTAAGTTGAGGAGGTACAAATCAAAAAGCATGGTAAACCCCAGCCAGAAAATTTATTCCACTTACTTGCTTTTGTTATACTCAAACTCGATATGCAGGCAGTCTTCAATTCCAACTTCCATCTACAAAGGGCATAAATAATCCAAATGATCCACAAAAAAACTTGCCATGTTTAGCAGTTATAGATAGGCATTGGTGTGAGGATGCAACATAAGCATGAAAGTACTACACCTACTGATAATTGACAGAGTTTCATGCTACGGAAGTAAACTACCACACAATCCTTGTGTTCAAAAAGTGTATTCAATAATGAGTTAACAGCCATAAACAAAATTACTTTGCCTCTACACCATTCAGTACCTACTTACTTTTGATGTAACGTATTTTTATTGGTTTATTGCAATTGCATTTAATAGATAAGTGGATACCACTAAAATGTTTAAGCCAATAAAAATACACCACATCAGAAAGTCACTAACCGGTGGGTAGGCTAGTATTTTTCTAAACTAAATACTTGTAGTCGTAGTAACAAGTGAAAACAGCAGACAACATAAAACTCGTACAAAAATTTTCGCGATGTGAGGCATTTTACTGAACTGACCTTGATACCATTGTTGATTGATGGAAGTGGCGAATAGTTGCGAACCTGACGCAAACCAATTATTACAAGCTTAGATGTAACAGTATCCATATTGGCCAGATAAACTCGGCATTTTAATATAATTAACATATTAAAATAAAAGTTATGCTGATAAACAAGAGTTCATACTTATTGTGCCGCCAAGCTCTGAAATTTTATATAAAATGAAACTTTCAATTCGAGAGATGCAAGTGCAAGATGACAGCATAAGCTAACAAAGAGGACAAAGCAGACAAAATAAATAAAATAACCCAAGAGGGGGGAACAAAGCAAAGGAACTAAACAGCCAAAATTCTTACGAGCATACCCAATCACAAGAAATCGCAAACAGCAAAATAATCCAAAATACAGCAAGTAGAATCCCATAAAAAGCAACAAAGTGAATGGATTCCAATACCGTGCTGCCCTCCTACTCCATCCATCTACTACACTTTTCAATAAAATGCCCAAATATATTCCAAAACCCAAGGAAGTTAAAAATTTTCCCCTGACTAGAGATCCAGAAAACAGTAAGAAACTAAGGGTTCTTTCTAGCTCATTATTCAAAATGAAGTGAAAAAATTCCAGTACATATACTTCATAAGGAAAATAAAACAGTTTTTCTAACATTCAGAGACATTCTTTTTATAGCTTCAAGAGCAATTTTGTAATCAATTGTTGAAAATATAGTAGGAAATGGTCTTTTATAACTGTTTTCTAAGTCCTATATTACAGAATAAAAAATAAAATGCAAGAGAAAACTCATATAAACTCGCATAAGAAGAAAAAAACAAACAAATTCACCCAAACATCCAAAATTGTCAACATCAATCAGAAGGACAGAGGTGAAGCAAAATAGAGTAGAACCACCAAGAAAATTATCAAAAACCCACATGAGAGGAGGCTATGAAGAACGGACACCTTAATTTGGGTAACATGTTCGTGTCCAATACTGTTGGACACTTGTTAACACAATTGACATTGTTAGACACTAGTACAAATTAAATGCAAGTCCAACACTTGTCATGCACATGTCAAACGCTGGCTAAGCATAATAAATAGATACAAATAGTAATATAAGACAAAATAATAAATTATGAGAATGAAATACATCAAACTTGTTTTTTGTCGTATAAATGCATGAACTTATTGACTTTTTGATGACATGTCCTAGTTGTATCGATATCCTAAAATTTTGGAAAATAAAGTCTAACATGTCTGCAATATATCATGTCGTGTATGTGTATGCGTCCATGTCAGTGTTCATGTCGCTGTCTGCATTTTTCATCATTATCTTCACTGGAAGGAAGATACTATTGGGGAACTTGAGATGGTCTAAATGAACATTCTTGTAACCTTACCATTACAAAAGACTATGCTCCTCTATGGAGAATTCTGATTAGCTACCAGCAACTATAATAAAAAGGAAGGAAGAAAAAGAGTTTCTTGTCTTAAGCCTTTTAACATTTTGATTCTTCTGAGGGAAGGAGAAAGTCACATTTTAATCACCTCAAAATCCAACTTCTCCAAGTTGCTCCAAGCGGTCTTTTCTTTCTTTTCTTTTTGAAAACCATATTGAATAACTCCCAGGAGATCGTGCTGAAATATTTTTTCCATATCAATATTTACCTGTAGGTTTTCTTCCTCCTCACCAATCATCAACTTGCCTCGTTAAGAATAGCATAGGTAATATTCATTCCACATACAAAGGCAACCTTTGCATCATGTCAAAGAGGACTTTTGCTAGAAATTTATAGAAGACTTATGACCAAAATAATTGGCCTGAAATCTCCCTAATTTCAACCATGTTTTCTTTCTCTCAATGAAAGTTGTTTCTTTTCATAAAAGAAAAAAAAAGATATTTTTTAGAACTCTATGAAAAGTAAAAACACATCAAGACCAGGAGACTTCACGTCAAATATTTAAAAGAAGAGAATACACCTAACACAGTGTATGTGTGGAACTACTAGTCTACAATGTTCATGCATGATCAACATGTTCATCAGCTACCATTATTCAAACAGCATGCTATGCCACAGGAAAAAGAGGTACGAAGTGTTACCACAAAGTCCTGATATTCCACTATGCTACCAGCATAACCACGACTGATGGTAATTTTGAGGACATACCTAGGAAGGGAAGTTCAGAAAACACCAGACCATGAAAATCTCTTAGTTCACAAGATTTGAAATATTTAAAGTAGAACCAGAACAAGAACATGTACCGTTTAACAAATGTCCAAAATATATAAATAAAAGCAGTTGAACATGAATAAAAGCTAAAAAGTAATGCATAACCAGCGTGAAGCTATAAGCATTCAAAAGAGAAGCCACCAGAAGATGATGACCACATTATTAAAGAAAGATCTTAATTCCAAACGATTATTTACCTCAGCCTCACATTTACCCCATTATATGTCTCATATGGCATTTCAACTGTAGAAAATTCAAATGGGTACGTTTTCTTTTCGTATATTTCTCCCGGAACATCCAATTCGCGAACTGGAAAAAACAATAAAAGTTCAGTTCTGAGAAGACATTTCACATGTACGATAACAATTGTTCAAAAACCGTCATAATGCATGCATCAAGGACAATAAATTTTAATCTGCCTCCCCTTGCAGTCACATTATATTATTTCTTTGGAAACGAAAGAGGTCCAGACAGTGACAAGAACGAACACATATAATACTTACCAAGAGAAGTAAAGTCATAAAAATTGCCTCTATCAAAGTACATCTCTGCAAAAAAGAGCATACAAGACTAACATCAATTTCTCAAAGAAATAGAAAGTATCAGTTTCTCAAAGAAATAGAAAGTATCAATTTCTCAAAAAAATAGAAAGGATGTATCAATTTTCAAAGTTTGATGCCCAAAAAGGCACATAATTATTGGCACCTGGTAGTCTCATGGTAAAGATATTAGCACAACCAGAGTATATATAAAGAAATGTAGCCACATCCTCAAAAAATAATTAAAAAGAAAAAAACCCCACAAAGCTAGACAATACATAAGATGGAGTGATTTGGTGCTAAAGAGAAACAAAGCCAATATTAAAAATGTATATATTGAAAACTAAAAGAAAATTATCATGATGTGAAAGCAGCAGAAGTGCACACCAATTTGACCGAGAAGCTCAATTTTAACACCATTGTGGTCGACCTTCTTTCCTTGCAGAGGATCTATAGTTATCTGGAGCATGATAAGAAAAAGGGAAGTTGGAATCCAACAATCTCAAATAAAAATAAATAAATAAAGTTCCAGTAACTTCACAAAATAATTATACCTTCCCAGTAATATTTTCTTGACTCTGGAAAAGGGGAACCAAAACCGTCTGACCATTTTCCTTCTTTAACGGAACCTAAAGAAACAATGCATTTTAAAGAAAAAAAAATTAAAAATTAAAAAATTAACTTTATTATGCAAAGCATTATGGCTCAGCAAAAACCATTGCAAAACTCAATAGCTTACACAGATAATACTCAAATTGTCAAAAGCTTACACGGATACTACCTGTTTTTCATTTCAAAAACTTATCAGAATGAGAATTGGAACAAACATTTAATTTCTCTCTCCTCATTCATCCAATCATCTAACTACTGTAAATGGGATACCTGCTTGCGTGTTTTCCCATCAGAAAATGTGATTGATATATTGCAAGATGGCTTAAAAGCTCCAAGCAGGTAATTCTGAAATATCAAAATAAAATTTTCAAAAGTATGGCACCATCTCATCAAAATGCATGAAAGACATATTTTAAATACATAAATTAATAAGAAAAAACCGATATCAAAGAAATCAGGTAACTCTCAAATCTCTTTGGAAATTAGGACTCTTTTGATATATGCCACAATTGGAGTACTCTTCTGCAACTCCTTTTGGCAGTTGGGTCAACCCCTTATTTTATACTTTTTCATATTCCAATAACAAAATAATTTCCTTCTTAGAGATAATAAATTACAATAAAAAAAAAAAATTGGCATGCGTAATCACCATAAGTACTTAAATATATATTACCATAATGGACAGCAGAGAAATAGAGCTCCCAAACTTGACTCAACCAGCCTGCATACATCCAAGTTCAACATCATAAATTCCATACTGCTATCACAAGCTAAGTATCCGTTACAATCATCTCTACTGGAAACCAAAAATCATAAGCCAGAACTAATATAACATTCTTTTTTAATCTAGAAACAAAGCTTTCATTAGAAAAAAAAAACCGAAAGAATACAAAAGGGCCTAAAAAATGGCCCGCCCAAAGAGGAATAAAAAAAAACCTGAACTAACAAAACAAGAAATTGGCCCAATTCAAGAACTAATTTACCAATGATACCAATACCAGTATGTATATTTGAACCATATCCCACGTTTAAAACAAATACAGCATGAGCTCAAAGTTGAGTTTTATTAGGGGCTATTCGGGAGTGTTTTGAAAACAAAATTTTAGTTTTTAGAAAAGAAATATTTGTTTCAAGTCACCCATACCCAACATTCCTCTATCAATATCCCATTTGACCCTGTTCCAGTTTACCAAATGCCAACCAATATTTTCCTTGTTGGGCATGAAAAACAAAGAAATCTAATATGTTGGAAGGTTTGAGAAAGAGTCTTGCATAAGAGTGAGACGCTCGTCATCAGAGAAGATTGCATTCTTCCATTTTTGGAGTTAGTTATCTACTCTCTTGGTAATAAGATCCCAAAACGAATATGTTAAAGGTTTTACAGAAAGGGGAAGACTCAAATGAACCAGGCTAATTTCCACGAGAGCAACCAAGGCTGGCTAGTGGCTACAGCTACAGAGCTACTGAAGCCTTGGTAATGTAGTCATCACATTTAATTTCCAAAAGTTCAAACATTTAATTTCCAAAAGTTTGAACTTTCCATAATTAACATCATCAACGCTGTAAGCTTCTTCAAAGATCTTGACGACGTTAAAGGGATTGCTTATAGTTGTGGAGAAGGGAGAAAAGAATTAATTGTATTCTTTCCTTTAGCTTTCTAATCAAATATGACATTGCTCCATTATTGGAGCTAGCATTATCATAGTAAAAATTTCGTCAATGTCCCAACTTTGCAAGCATTTTTCGATTACTCTACCTATTGTATCTCCTTTGTGATTAGCTATTTAACAAAAGTTTAAAATTCTTTTGTGTAAGTCCATCACCATCAATGAAATGAGTTGTTATAACCATATAATTAATATTTTAAATCGAAGTCCAGGTATCAGCCGTTAAACAAACTCATTGACCACTTTTAATTAAAGCACTTTTCAAGTTCTTTTTCTCTATCATTTAAATTGAAAACAATCATTTGCAACAATGATTCGTGATGGAATTACAAACTTAGGATTTAATATCTTGAAAAATTTATAAAATCTTTCACTTTCAACAAACTTAAACAACAATTCATCCAATATCACCATACAAGCAAGCATTGTTTTACAATTCTCTTGAGTAAATGATGTAGCAATCAAATATTTTCAAAATCCTCCATCATACTTCTTACATTTCTTAAGGTGTTTTTTCAAATTTGTCGTCCCATTTCTTTTAGAATCACATGCATATGTAGTCCTGCAATATTTACAAGCTGCTCTAGGAAATTCAACATAACATCCCTCTACTCTAACAAAATGGTCTCATACATTTAAACCTTTAGAGCATTTTCTTTTATCAAGCAATCCTACTTTACTATTGGCAACAAGGTTAGAATTATCAAGTTCAACTAATTGAAGAGTAGGACCAGAATGACTTGTTTTATAAATCTCATTTCTAGAAGACGAAGTGTCTCCTAAGAAATTACACCTCTAAATAAGAAAAACAACAAAACTCAAGAAACCCATCATCTCAAAATTCATCAACAAGGGAAATTGTAACCAAATGAAACAAAACTAAACAGGTGTTCCCAAACAATTTTGAAGTTCATCAACTCAAATGGAATAAAAAGGAGATCTTAGTAATGCACCTCAAAAGTAGTAGAGAAGAGATCTCCAAACCGAACTTATGCAAGAGAGTGAGAGACTTTATGACAAATGGTGAATCACGCAATCAAGAAAGAATTAGAGAATTTCTTTTGTGTAATTCTAATTGAGAATAAAACATGTTGTAAGAACCCGTGTTAGTTTGCAAAGGAAATGTTAGAGTCGTTCAATGCCAAGTCCAGATTCTAAATCTTGATTCAAATTCTAAACACAATCCAAACATAACTCTCCTTTCTCTTTCCCCCATTTGTCCAATTCCCACAACAATTTTCTTAGGAACCAAACACGACCAGAAACTTAATTCAAACTAAAAGATTAAATCCCACATTAAAAACAACAAAATCAAACTCAACAGAACTGAGGCAAAAATTTACTTATAAACAAAAACAACCAACAAAAATTGACTTGCCCAAAATTTTTCAAGAACAAACTAAAGAATTCAAACCACCTGCAGAGTATCATAGAGCCATAAATTTAAGTCTACTCAATGATTCAAACAACATGGAATCAGACTGCACAAAAACAGAAACAGAACAATGATGATCACAATAGAAAACCAACAAGCGAATCAAACAAGCCAAAAACCCATTCCTCCGTACCATTTTTTGTGATGCTGAAATTCGATTCGTGAAAAAGCAACGTCAAATCCAAATCAAACAAGTGACATGGCATATTATGAATGGCATAAATGTAAAACAATATTGATGAACTACATCAACAATAGTCATTAAATCAACACAAAAATAACTGATCCAATTGTGATTCAATCTCCACGATCCCACATTGAGATTTGAGTTTCGGGGCACAAGATAATTATCGAATTAAACGAAATTCACAATGGAATTCACCGATCTTAACAAGAAACCCTTTTGAAATCTGAGAAAATTGACTTGATCAAACCTAAGAATCAGCGTCAGAATCCCAAACTTTTCTCAATTGAAACCAAAAAAAATTGCAAAATAAGAATACAACGTTCATTTTGGGCAGACCCATATGAACCAATCAACTATTGGCAACAACGAAATCTGATTCCCACGAATCAAGATCAATTTCAAACAGAACAGAACAAACCCAAATCTATAGTTGATAAGAAAAGTAGAATACCTTTATAAATTTAGGCAGAAAACGAGAGCCCAAGCTGTTGAAGAAGACCCGGTGAGGTGGGTGAGCGTTGCCGCCGCTGGATGGTTCACAGAGAGAGAGGGACTGTGGCCGTGGGTCTGGGTCGTGCGTGAGAATTGAGAAGTCCCGGGGGCAAAGACAAAGTGGGGAACCCTGGTTCGGTTCGGTTCCTTTCACCCCGTAATGTAAGTAGCTAATGCCCACAAATATAACATTAGAGGCATAAGTTTTGTAAATTTGAAACCACCATTGTAAAGGGGATTGAACCCACCATTGGATATGCGCCTAAATTTACTTCTTCTCTGCGAGGAAGAATTCATCAGTGAAGACTGTTTTCGATCCGCGACGGTAAAATGATAGTTTCTTATTTACTTGTATTGTTTTTATGTCTCTTATCGTCTGATTTTCATCGATTCCAGCATTAAAACACGACGGGGATGAAATATTAAGAAATGGTGAGAGCAGGGACAGATCTACGTGGAGCCCTAGGGGTGTTTAGTTCCCTGTTTGTTTGAGCCCGAAATTGATGAGCTCGGATACAATTTAGATCGGTACGTTCAGGATGAACTATGGCCAACGGTCACACACCTTCCTCGAACACTCTTGAGACCTGCAAAACAAAGTTAGCACTCCAACGAGCAAGTTAGTTCGAGTCCGAGCTAACTTGCCGAGTCTACTTAGGATTGCGTACCTTGCATTTAAGGCAAGAGTTTCTATTTATAGAAACTGGGCCCCACAGGGATTCTGACACACCCTAAAATCACGGCGTGTTGTCGGGTACGGAAGAGACATTGTTACGGACTTTGTATCAGCTCAGCTCGGCACTGTAGGTCCTACCCTGGCTGCCGACCTGAGTATTTTGGAGTCGGTTTCTACATTTCGTCTGCGTGTTTAACCAACCCACCTTTTCGATCATGACACGTGGCAAGCCAAGATTCGCATCCAACACGTAACATTTTTGTTTAATAATCTAGAGTGTGAAAAAGTTATATTGATTGAGAAATATAAATTGAAGTAAGGCTTTAGGACATTATTTTAGTTAGAAAAGTAGAAATTTTATTATGACTATTACTTTTTCTTGATTTTTATTTTATACTTTTTTTTTGTCATATGCATTGGATAAAATCATGATAAAATACCATTAAACCCAAACACTTAATTAGATTAGTAATAATAATTTAATATTTTTAATACATACCTTTCATTTTTTTTAGTAAAACATGTGTGGGTGGAGGATCGAATTTGTTGATGCATAAATAAAGGTCGGACCTGTAAAACATAAAGTGTAGGGTGTTGTGAGCATCTCAAATAGTAAATTCAGGGAGATTGTTGAGTCAATTATTGAGATTTTCTCATAGCTTGCTTTGGTAGGCGCATAAAATAGTGGAGGATCTAATAATTGGATTATTAATATTAATTGGAAAGAAAACATAAAGATTTAGATCAAAAATTCCCCTTAATACTACGTTAAACTACACTTAAATTGATAAATTAAAGAAGAAGATGATTTAGATGTGTGGATGATTCCTTCTGAAATTCTAAAACTCACCTATCCAACAAGAGACTACTCTTTCTCCCTCCTACGTAGCCAAAGAAATGACTTGTGCGGAAGCGTTGAAGGTGTGTTTAGGTGAAAGAAGCTCGGACAATAGATTTAGTGATCTTAGATAGAAATAAATTGGGGGAAGAAACAACGTTATAAGATTTGAACACAAGACCTTCTATTCTAATATCACGTTAAATTAAACTACTTTAAACTAATAAATCACAATAAATTTAATATTTTTCGATATATTCTTAGCGGGTCGTACTAATATGGACCACAAAGGTTGGTTGTCTCACCAATCATACAATATTGTTTAAAGACATTTCCTTTTCATAAAAGGATGATTACATTCAACATTCAACATTGTTATATTATAATCTCTCTCCAAAGAGGCATATATAAAATGGCAAAGTGATTGGGCAATTGATGGTGGAGATCAAATGGAAGGAGCTCCTACAGATTCTCGTCCTGCAAATGGAGGACATGGTTCACACAGCTACTCCAAAAACTCCTTCTATCAGGTGCCAAGTTTTCTTCTTTTCTTCAATCAATGGATAAAGCATAAACTTATGAGTTCTAACTCATCATCAAAACACAAGATAGTGTTGTAAAATATTTGAGTTCTTTTTTTCTTTTTTTTTTTTAACAAAAATTTATAATAGACATGGACATGGACTCCTACCAATTGATTTGAGATAAAACTTATAAATATTGATGTAGTATTAGAGTAACAAACGTTAAAACGAGCCTATGATCTAAAATTGGGATTCGACGAAGATGGATGAGTCAAATTGCAGCTTTCTTTAGTAAAAGTATAGAAAATTTTATTTTGAAAAAACTACGGTCAAATTTCATTTGCTCCTAAATTTTGAAAAACGATTATAGCTTAAACTAGTTGGGAGTAAATGAGGCAATTGGTTCCTAGATTCTCTTAAATTAAAAAA